TTGATGGGAGACTTCAACGCAAAACTAGGCACTAGAGAAAGCGGTGAGCTGAAGGTGGGGAAATTTGGAGTAGGGCAACGGAACCGAAGGGGCCAGCAGCTGGCCGACTTTATGGAGAAAGAGGGACTCTTTATGATGAACTCTTTCTTCCAGAAGCGGCCCCACAGGAAGTGGACCTGGTCGAGCCCCGACGGTTCGACAAAAAATGAGATTGATTTCATTATGACGACCAGACGCCAACTGTTCAGTGATGTCTATGTGATTGCAAGGGTGAAAACTGGCAGCGATCACCGAATGGTTAGAGGCACACTGAACCTAAATGTTAAGTTGGAGAGGTCTCGTCTAATGAAGTCAACGCTCCGTCCACCTCGTGCTCTAATCCAGAATCCCGAAACCTTTCAGCTCGAGTTACAAAACCGCTTTCAGTGCCTAGAGGATTACAATGCAGTGGATGATATGAATGACAAGCTCGTGGAAACTGTCCATGCGATCGGAGCTAAGTTCCGCAAGACCCGCCGTAGAAGAACACAAAAAACTCTCCGATCACACTCTTAATCTCATGGCTGTTAGACGGGAGATGAGGCTGCAATCGTCAACAGATTTGACAGCATACAGGCAACTGAACAGACAGATCTCCAAATGCATGCGGCGAGACTTACGCAACTTTAATACTGCTCGTATTAAAGAAGCGATCGAGCGGAACCAGGGCTCCAAAGTCTTTGCCAGAGATCTGTCTGCCAGAAAGAGCCAACTGTCAAGGCTGAAGACTGAGTGTGGCAACATCGTTTCCGGGACACCTGAGATTCTGAGTGAGATTGAGAGGTTCTATGGGCAGCTGTACACATCATCGTTGGAGCCACACGCAAGTGTGAGTAACGATCCAAGAGCAAGTCTTATCCGACACTATTCCGATGATATCCCGGACGTCAGTCTGAGCGAGATTAGAATGGCTCTCCACCATATTAAAAACGGCAAGGCCCCGAGCGAGGATGGAATTACAGCGGAGCTTCTGAAAGCGGGTGGAACACCGGTACTTGAAGTCCTTCAGAAGCTCTTCAATTCCGTTCTCCATGGTGGCACTACTCCGGAGGCGTGGAGCAGAAGTGCGGTGGTCTTGTTCTTTAAGAAAGACGACAACGCTCTCTTGAAGAACTACAGACCGATTTCCCTTCTGAGCCGCGTCTACGTGCTGTTTTCGAGAGTCATTACGAATCGTCTCCCACGCAGACTCGACGACTTCCAGCCTCCCGAATAAGCCGGTTTCCGAAAAGGCTTCAGTACCATAGACCACATACATACCCTTCGGCAAATTGTACAGAAGTACGAAGAGTACAATCTGCAACTTTGCCTGGCGTATGTGGACTATGAGAAAGCCTTTGATTCCGTCGAAATTTGGGCGGTGCTACAGTCTCTTCAGCGGGGCCTAGTTGACTGTCGGTATATTGAAGTGCTGAAGTGTTTGTACAGTAAGGCTACGATGGCTATCCGAGTACAGAACCAGAGTACGAAACCTATCCAACTGCAGAGAGGTGTAAGACAGGGTGATGTTATATCCCCGAAACTCTGACTGGACTGGAAAGGATACGGTATTAACATCAATGGCGAGTACATCACTCACCTTCGATTTGCCGACGATATAGTCCTTATGGCAGAATCGCTGGAGGACCTTAGTACTATGCTCAATGACCTCAATGGTGTCTCCCAACGTATAGGTCTTAAGATGAACATGGACAAAACAAAGATCATGTTTAATGTCCATGTCACACCTATGCCGGTAGTTGTTGGGAGCACTATGCTCGAAGTTGTTGATGAGTACGTTTACCAGGGACAAATAGTCCGACTAGGTAAGTCCAACTTCGACCGAGAGGTCAATCGACGGATTCAACTCGGCTGGGCAGCGTTCGGGAAATTACGACACATCTTCTCGTCAGGTATACCTCAATCTCTGAAAACTAAAGTGTATAACCAGTGCGTGTTGCCAGTGATGACTTACGGATCTGAGACGTGGTCCTTCACCGCTGGCCGTATGAGGATGCTCAAGGTCGCTCAGCGAGCTATGGAGAGGGCTATGCTCGGAGTTTCACTGCGTGATAGACTCAGAAATGAGGATATCCGCAGTAAAACCAGAGTGACCGACATAGCCCAAGGGATTAGTAAGCTAAAGTGGCAATGGGCCGGCCATATAGCTCGAAGAACCGATAACCGATGGGGAAGAAAGGTTCTCGAGTGGCAGCCTCGTACCGGTACGCGTAGTGTAGGGCGACCCCCTACTAGATGGAGTGACGACCTGGTAAGACATGCAGGAAGTCATGGATGCAGGTGGCTCAGGACCGTGCTTTGTGGCATTACTTGGGGGAGGCCTATGTTCAGCAGTGGACTTGTGAAAGGCTGTAATGATGATGAAAATGATGATATATACACACAAGAATTGCTCGTTTAAAGGTATAGGATATCGAACATTCAGTGGGAGCCATCCTACTATATTTCGAACACTTCCTAAAAAAGAAGACAATTTAGAAATTATTTTCTGAATGTGTGGCTTCCACTACAACCTGTTATCTAATATAAGTCCTAGGTATTTTCCCTTATTTGCTTTATTTATATCTGCACCATTTATTGTGAGAGGCGAAAAGTCTGGTATCTTTTTGTTTTTAGCAGAAAAGAATGACATAGTTAGTTTTGATACATTAATAGTTAACAAATCGCATGAGAACCATTCTTGCAAGAGGTTAAGGTCTTTCTGGGCCTCCTCTACGATTAAATTGATGCTGTGACCGAAATAAAATAGTCAAGTACCATCCGCGTACAAGGTGATATTTCCCTTTAAACCTATGTTGTTTATATCGTTTACATATATTAGAAACAACAAAGGTCCCAAAATTGACCCTTGAGGAACACCGTATTGAACAGGTTTAGGGCTGCTAACATGTTTATCTATTTTAATTACTTGAAAACGATTTGTGAGATATGACTTTATCATTTCTAGGGCCAATCAAGTTATACCGAGTGCAAAAAGCTTACATAATAAACTTTCATGACTTCTCGATGATGATCAATAAAAATTCCAAGGGCTATATTTTTTTGATCTATACTGGTTTTGAGTTTTGTAATAAGATCTACTGATGCAGAAAGGGTATTTGATTTAGATCTAAAACCATACTGATGCTCAGAGAGGTGTTTTTTTAAGGTTAAGTAGTCACTAAGGCGTTTATGTAAAATTTTCTCAAAAACTTTTGATATAGTAGGAAGTACTGAGATTGGCCTGTAGTTGCATGGCTCATTCTTAGGTCCTGTTTTATAGATTGGAGTGACTTTAGCAAGCTTCAATGAGTCAGGGAAATGGCCTTCCTGTAGACATCTGTTAATGCATTTTGTTAAGCAAACATATATAGGGTCTCTTATGTATTTAATAGTTTTAGAGCTGATCCCGTCAACACCTGTATTACTATTTAATTTAAGTCTATGGTTTTTAACTTCCTCAACAGTAGCTAATTCAAATTGGTCAAATTTATTAAAAAATTTCGTTGGTCTATTTTGCATTGTATGTAAATATTTCTTATGGTACTGAGATGGAAATTGTTTTGCCAGAACAATACCTATATTTGCAAAATATTCGTTAAACTTTTCGCAGATATTTTGCGTTAATAGTGCCTTGAGCAGTTAATATATCAATGGGTGTAAAATTGTCTTTCGTTCCTTCTTAAATCTTTTTTCGATATCTAAGTTTCCCGGATTTTGCTTAAAACTCTTCCATAGCTCATTTCGTCTATCAATTATTTTTAATACGTCTTTATTTATCCAGTCTTTTTGAGAAGGGTTCAATGTTTTGGTTTTTATAACTTTGTTACTTTTTAAAGGAACTTGGATAGACCCTTCAAGTGTAATATATTGATCATTGGTGTATTTCATATTCATCATGTCACTGTAGAGGTATTGGTAATTTATAGCTTTATATTTAATTTTTTTTGTAGATTTGGGCTTGTATTGTTTTACTTCAAAATATATTTGTTTATGATTTGATAATGCGAATCCTATTATTGCCATATGATAGTCGTGTTCTTTTAGGTTAGAGCTGATATGGTCTAATATGGTTCAAGTGGTAGATTTTTCTCGTGTACAATACGTTGCATTTATTTTATTCAATATTTAAAATCCATTTTCTTTTATTATTTTTTTGTAGTCTTCAACTAGGCTTCCTTTTTTGAGTAAATCAAAATTGAAATCACCAAAAATTATTGCGCGTTTGTGGCTCTGAACTATTTGTGTAAATCTCTCAAAGAAGTTACTAGAGTTTGTTCTTTCTGGTTTGTAAATGGCTCCGATATCCAGTGAAAATCTTTTTAAGTATGTCCATAGATAGTGATTATCTTCTTCACATATACTTTCTAGATAATGATGTTCTAAATTATTATGTACGTAGATTGAGACTTCGCCACCTCTGGATTGAGATCTAAAGTTATAGTAATGGGTGAAATTTGGTAATTTGAGTCTTTGCGCTTCATTTTCAGATTTTATCCACGTCTCAATCAATATGACGACGTGAACTTTCTGCAAGGATGATACGATACACTTAAGTTCATCAAGTTTCCCAGGCTTTACCAGGCTTCGTATATTAGCATACATAAAATTCAATGATCTTGTACTTCTATTTACGTTTGTGTAACTGTTGACAATTTCATAAGTTATATTGTTTTGTAGATCTTTTAAATAGGCGGATTTTATACATGAAGTGTAGTAATTATGTTTGAGTATTTCATTTAGTTTTTTGATTGATCTTTAACAATTTTGGGCATGGCTTTTATGTATTTTATGACTAAGTGCACCTCGCCGTTTTGTGTCCGACGTTCTACTTCTTTTCTCAGATCCTTTATTTGTTGCTGTTGGTAGGCAGTATTATCGGAGTATATTTTTATTGAACTATCTGCCTGGATTGATTTATTTCGTAGGATACGTTTGGCTATTTCTCGCGACGGAAGACTTACTTTTAATGGTCGGATTTTCTAAGGGCTATATTTACCGATACGTCGTACTTGAATAGGATCAGGACATTCTGGAAATGTAATTTTTATTACTTTTAAAACTTCACCTGTATTAGAAGCAGATCTTTGTTTGGAGTTTTCTCCTTTGGCTTCTGGGACTCCAACAATTGTTAAATTTTTTTCTCTGAGATATCGTTCTTGTAATTCAGAAAATATTTCATCGCAGCTTAAATCTATTGCAATACTTTTGTTGTCTGATTTTATGTTTAGCACTTCAATGTTGGCTTCAAATTTATCTATTTTCTCGTTTGTAGCAACTAGGGATGCTTTCAAATCAGTAACATCAAATTTAAGTTTGTTATGTTCAGTAATTATATTTTGTGTAGTAAGTTATAGATTTTTTATTTCTTCTTTTATTACAGAAACATCAACAGATATCTTACCCAGAATTTTGTTTTGTGATTCAACAAAATCTCTTAAAATACTGGTCATTTCTTTACGAAAATCGGCAAACTGTTCACAGCTGATACAATCATGTTCAGGGTGTTTCTTCTTTGTCCGAAAAGTTATGTATTGTATGTCGGTTGTTTCAGTATTTAAAATTGATAAGTGAGGTTGAGAGCTTCCACGTCCGGATGGGGATCGTAATATACTCATTATTTAAGAAAAATCACTAAGAGATAAAATAATACTTCCCTAGTGTGTACGCACCCTAAGCACGTATTGTGTCTAGATATTTTGTGCTAACAGGATAAATTTTGTAGATGTTTGGCTTGTTGTCTTGCTTTCGCGTCGCTGCTCTGCCGCCGGGCATTCACTCTCATTCACAATAAAAAGGGTGTAATATTCGGTGCTAGGTGCAAATTAAAATACTTATTCCACTGTTGACATATGTTTCAAATTCATTTGTCAGTTTATGCAAAATTTTAGAAGAATATTGCTAACACGTCTACACTGTACGCTCGCAAGTTATCCACTCACTATAATTTTACGGCAAGCCCATAGGAAGGGAGCTTCGTAAGAAGCGCTTTGTGCCAAAATCCGATCAAAGGCCAATGCCTCCCTTTTGGACTCTACTGCCTCCACCCATCGTGGAGTCAGGTTGATCAGAAGATCACCAGCTGATCGACCCCGACGAATAACTTATTGGCGGTCACTAATCAGCTGGTGATCCTCAAGGTACCGCATGAGCTGGTAGTTTATAATGGATTCCATTATTTTCACAAGGAACAAGGAGGTGATGGCGATAGGCCTATAGTTTGACGGATCAGAGCGGTCCCCTGTTTTAGGGATCAGGTGGACGAAAGCCACCTTCCATTATTTTGGGACTACGCCTAAGTAGTAGGAGTACTGGAAAAGACGCATTAGAACCGATGCCAACTCTGGAGCACATGTCCTCAGCATAATTGGGGGGATGCTGTCGGGCTCACTCGACTTGTGGATGTCTGGATGTTGATGATGGATGTCCAGGGAGAGGAGTGCTTTGCGAACCGAGCACTGTGTGAATCGCACCTCCAGTATGGGGCACTCACACCGCGGGATGGTCGGCGGCGTGCTCCTACCGTTATCGAGAGTCGAGTTGAACGTAAAGAAAGAGCATAGCATATCGGCTTTCTCCTTTGCGGCATGGGCAAGTGAGTTTTCCTCCCTATGCAGAGATGGAAGAGATAGCTGACAGAAATTTCAGAGGAAGGCGAACTAGTTTGTTACCATCTCTACCTATGTGCTCTGACTTTGCCTTTGCAATGACTCTTTTGAAGGATCTGAAAACGAGGCATTCATTCTTTGTCCAGTGTTGCAACGCATTTACATTAAGGTTCTTAATCGAGGATAGATGTAGAGCCACAGCATCCATTTACCATCAGGTGGACTGTGTTCGAATGTCACCCATATTTTATGTAAGTAAAAGTCGTCATGAGTGGCAATCGCGTCTATGTTTTGGTTATGAGTCTACCGATGGTCAGTTCAATTATTAATCTTCAACCTAATCAGCCTGTGTATTTTTCGTCACCGTTATTGATGTAAACAAGTGGTTCAATTAAAATTCGTGTACAACTGACTTCAATATAAATAAAATGAGAACTGAGAGAGAGATTTCTTATATTTACGCGAACGATACACATTGAGTAAGACTTACTTTTACGGTTTTTATCGGTCAATGTAGTCGAATTCAATTAAATACGCATTATTAAGGATAACTCAAAAGCTACGGAATTTATAAGTGAAAATACAAGAATCACCATCTTTTAAATAAAAAAAGAATCATTATAATCGGTTCACTTAGAAAAATGTTCTGAGGTAACCACACATAAAAAAAACATACAGTTGAATTGAGTAACTCCTCTTTTTTGAAGTCGGTTAAAATAGCAAACATTTCGGTTTAAAATTGTGTTCTTTGTCATGTGAGTAATTACGTGCAATTTCAACTTGTTTAAGTATGTATGCTACGAGAAGTGAGGAAAACGCAGTTATTTTTTACGACCTCGCGATAAAACGCTTATAGCCAACTTCAATTTACAGTGAGCGTTAGTACGTAGAGTGCTACGAGCGTAGCTCAACCAAGCTACGTAGATGCGTAGAGCAGTAAAATCTCTCATCTCTAACAGGCGATGTCTCATCCGAAATGTACCAACATATATACAGTTCATTTCTTATTTTATAATTTTAATGTGTGATGTTATTTTATTTCAGCGCTTTTGATGATGATGTAGCTAAAAGTTAGTATCCACATAATAGTAAAATTTAAAATTATTATAATATAGATTTTATAACTTGATAACTTGAGTCGTAGTCAATATATTCTTAATATATATAAATTATGTGTCACATTGTTTGTCCGCGATGGACTTCTAAACTACTCAACCGATTTTAATCAAATTTGCACACCGTGTGAAGTCTACTTGACAGATAGGATAGTTTTTATGCCCATGAGTGACCCACATTTTTTTGCGAATTTAAGGATTTTTAAAAGGACATGACAAAGGATCGTCAAAAAGGGCAGAACGACGTCTGCCTGGTAAGCTAGTATATTATATATTTGTTAATATTTAAAAACATTCGGAAATACCGCTTTAAAATTTCAATTAAGAACCCTAATTATTAGACAAGTTTAGTTCAAAACAACTCGAAAAACCGACAACCATGGGGAAGAAAGATTCGCGAATGGCAGCCTTGTTGTGTAGGCAAAGTGTAGGGTGGCCGCAAATAGACAGAGTGATGACTTAATAAGACATGCTGTAAGTCGATGGATGCTGGCGGCTCAAGACCGGGGTTTGTGGCATTCTTTGAGGGAGGCCTATGTTTAGCAATAGACTTATGAAGGGCTGTAATAATGATGATGATAATGACAAATGAAAAAAGAACTTTCTTTCTCATATTTTCGTTATCTTTGGATCTTCGAAGAAGAAAATGTGAAAAAACAATCTGTGATCATTAATTTTAAATGCCTCCTGGAAGGTTATATCTTTTTCTTAAAAGAAAATGTAATTTATAAAAATATATTTCATAAAATATGGCCTATGAGGCAATCCCCATATCTAATCTAAAAAGTTCCAAAGAATATCCATTTTTTCTAACGAAATTCAATTTTGCTGAACGAGCATAAACACCTTATATAGCAGCGGATCAGTAATAAATTGCTCTCGAATTACGGTAGCAATTCCTGAATTACACCACTACCATATTTCACATTATTTTTATAACACTTCTTTTTTCAAACAGGGGTATATATTTATAATTTATATATTAATAGATATTTGTTCTGAAGACAGTTTTTTTTAAGTAAGACTTATAATCAAGAATATGGTGACAATATGTGGTTAATTGGCAACCGAGTCACACAACGTGTCGCGAAATTCGAGTAGAGTTGTAAGAATGTCTATTAACCCAATTCATCCCAAGGGTGTCGTAAGAAAAGGAACAAACCAGGTGATGAACAACAGCACATTACTAATAACAACTAGAACACTATAGCTGATGCTTATCAGCTTCTAAAGAGTAGAAACTATTGCAAATATTTACGTGATAAAGCCACACTGCAGCTTTATAGTTGAAGCATGAATGCATGCTCTCACAGAATACCAGCGTAAAATAGCAGCGTAATGCTGCTGTGTTTCGTATGGTGAGTGTAGATAATCGGAGATCCTTTTTACTGGAATCGAGGCATTCCATCTTAGTCCTCAGGGATGACAACGCATTCGCATTTTGATCCTTAGTTGAGGATAAATGTGTATGTTTATGACCTACAGCATCCACTTACCATCAGGGGGACTGTGTGCTTGTTTATCACCCAAAGCTAAGAGTAGTAGCGGTAACTGTAGCAAGCGCGTGGCTTATTGGTTAAAATACCCAAAAACTACTATGTGGGAACTGAGCTCGACACACACCGGAATAAAATAGGGGTACGAATATGTCCTGCGATTGCGTAACTCTTATTGGTATTGTTGCGCGCCTAAGTTGACGTCTGGCACTAGCGCCATCTAGTGTCGGGGACCAAAGCGAGGAGAGATGACTAATCTTTCGACCAACAGCGCCATCTAGTATCGAACAGAAGAATTAAGCTTTCTGGAAGCCCTACACTCGAACTGTCTGCGCCTGGTCGGTTCGCGCGCGTATTTACTTGAATATTCTGGACGTTTCGGTAAAAAATGTTTATTTAAAGGCGCTGCAAGCCGCGGTCGGGGCAGTATTGAATTTGGCGAGACAAGCGTAGCTTCGGAGCGAAATAAAGTGAATCAGTGTGATTAATTGTAACTTTTAATTGGTGTTCGGTAATAAAAGTGTAAATTTTGGTAATTCAATCGGCAGTTTTAATTGTCACGAACCCTAAGCTCGTAACAGTATCTTAGCTTGCTTTATTTTTACGATTGGTTTAGTTATATTATGTAAATGCATCATAAGAATCGATTATAAGCGGATGTCTAAAATTTCTCCCTTTTTACTGATAACAAAGTATTTCGTCTTAGTCCTCAAGGGTGAAAACGCATTTGCAGTTTTTAATTGTCACGAACCTTAAGTTCGTAACTCTTGGTGTCAGAAGTGGGATCAAATCATGCCGATTTTACCTAAGGAGGAAACGGAGGGTGTCTGTACCCGAAGAAGCAGGAGACGGACCAGAGAAGATTTGGTGGTGCAACGCCGCAGACGTCGGGGGGCTAACTGTCAACCACGGAGGCTGGCCTGTCAGCAGCTCATACATCTGCAGCACCTGACTTAGGTGCTTTCATGATGATGCTGCAGGAGCAGGCCCGCCGACAGTAGGAACAGGCCCGCCAGCACGTGAAACAGGCACGCCGACTAGAAGAGCAGCTGTGGGGCGGAAAGGAGGAACAGGTCCGCCGACAGGAGGAACAGGCCCACCCACAGGAGGAACATTCCCACCGACAGGAGGAACAGGCCCGTCGGTTGGAAGAGCAGATGCTCCTCATGAAGGACATTCACGCTACCTTCGGGAAAGAGATAAGGGAGGTGAAGGATAAGGTTGCTCAACATGACAACTACCTTTCGGAAGCTGAAACCCGAATCGGCCAAGTGAACAATCGGTTTAACAACGTAATGGCTGACATGAAGAAATCACTGGGCGAACTCAAACTTGGGGATGGATCTACAGCTCCCGTAGTAGCTACTACACCTTCGCTACGTGGGTTTAAGGTGCAACC